AAGGAAGAAAAAAATGGCCAAACAGAAAAGGATGAAGAAAGAAGAATTCAGAAAAATGAGGAGAGGCTTAGGAACCTCCAGGACATCTTTAAACGCTCCAACATCCGAATTATAGGGGTACCAGAAGGGGAAGAGGAATAGCCACCAGTGGAAACACTTATTTGAACAAATAATAAAGGAGAACTTCCCCAATCTGGCAAAGGAAACAGACTTCCAGGAAATCCAGGAAGCTCAGAGAGTCCCAAAGAAGTTGGACCCAAGAAGGAACACACCAAGGCACATCATAATTACATTAGCCAAGATTAAAATGAAGGAGAGAATCCTAGAAGCAGCAAGAGATAAAGGAGACAGTCACCTACAAAGGAGTTCCCATCAGACTGTCAGCTGATTTCTCAAAAGAGACCTTACAGGCAAGAAGGGGCTGGAAAGAGGTATTCCAAGTCATGAAATCCGAAGACCTACATCCAAGATTGCTCTTCCAGCAAAACTTTCCTTTAGAATGGAAGGACAGATAAAGTGCTTCTCAGATAAGATCAAATTCAAGGAGTTCATCATTGCCAAGCCCTTATTATATGAAATGTTAAAGGGACTTATCTAAGAAAAAGCTGATAAAAATATGAACAGTGAAAGTACAGCAAACTCAGTTATTAACAACCACACCTAAAACAAAAGCAAACTAAGAGGATAGCTAGATCAGGAGTGGAACATAGAAATGAAGATCACATGGAGGGTTAGCAACAGGGGAGTGGGAGGAGGAGAAAGGGGGAGAAGGTACAGAGAATAAGTAGCATAGACGGTAGGTAGAAAATAGATAGGGGGGAGGGCAAGAATAGTAGGGGAAATATAGAATGTAAAGAACTTGAGACACATGGTCATAAACTAAAGGGTGGGAATGGTGGGGGAGGAGGTGTGCAGGATGGAGGGGAATGAAGGGGGGAATAGAACAACTGTAATGGCATAATCAATAAAATATATTTTAAAAAATTAAAATTAAAAAAAAAGAAAGTGGGCTTAATGATAGGAAACAAATATGTGCAACTGACCACATATTAAGAGAATAAAGGTGGAAAAAATTATTTATCTCAAAAAGTCCAGAAACACTTTTGATAATATTCAACTTGTAAGTCTGCAAATCTTAGCAAACTTAGAATAGCAGGGAAAGTTCTAAATTTAATAAAAATACCATAAATTGCTTATAGGATACCTTGAAAGCATTCCCAGAGAACAGCAACAGAACAAAAAAGCCTCTTATGACTTTTATTCAACATCCTACTAGATGAAGATCCCTGCAAATGCAATCAGACAAGAAAGAAAAAAAAAGAAACAGAAGGTATTGGGGAACAGAAAGACAAATTTGTCCTGACTTGTAGATGATGCAATTGTGTACATGAAGTCCACAAGAATCTACAGATGAATTGTCAGAACTGAATTAAAAAAATCAAATTAAAAATTATATATCAATATGGCAGCAACAGCAAAAAATAGTAAAAAATCAGTTACCTTTTATAATAGCATCAAAAATATTAAAAACGAGAAAATGAAATTTAATAAAATACATAAATATATACTTCTGTGAAGAAAATTACAAAGCTTCATCAAAAGATCTAAGACCTTAACAATAGAAGGATATGTTCATTCACTGGAAAATGTACTATTATAAGAGGAAATTATTCACAAATTAAATACAATTCCAACCAAAAGCCTAAGGGACTTATTTTACTGATACTTGTGTTAATGCTCAACTTTGTACAAAAATGCAAAAAATGAGATAGCCAAAATAAGACCTGTTTTCCCCAATAACAAGAATTTAAGCCCCGGCTGAATAGTTCAGTTGGTTGGAGCATCGTCCTGATACTCCAAGGTTGTATGTTCCATCCCCAGTCAGTGTACATGTAAGAATAAACCAATGAATGCATACATAAGAGGAACAAATTGATGTTTCTCTGTCTCTGAAATCCATTAAAAAAAAACTTTTAAAAGGTTTAGTCATTAATACAGTATGTTACTAGTGTAAGGACTAACTAATCAATGGAATAGATCAGAAAGCCCAGAAACACAGACCCCGTGTAAATATGGGCACTTACTAGATGATCAAATTGCATTCCAAATCAATACAGATGAGCTGCTAAGAAATTTAAAAAGAAACCTGGTTACCTATCTTATCTTGTACAAAACTCAATTCAGTAGAACACAAAATACACATATTTTAGAATGCAGCATAGGAAAAGATATTCATGACCTTAGGGTAGAGAAACCTCTCGTAAACAAGATACAGAAACACCAATACAGAAAAAGAGTGATACATTTCACTAGGAAGAAAAAAATAAAAACAAACTGAGAAGATATTTGAACTAGTTATAACCAAAGGATTAGTCTCCTGAATACATGAAGGAATCCTGTTAATAGAGAAATGTCAAACAATCCTGTTTTTAAAAATGGGCAAATAATTTAAATAGGGAGTTTACAAGAGAGAAGGTCAAAATGGTAAACCCATGAGAAAAATAATCTCAAGGAAATACAGATTAACAATGATGCAGTATATTCTTTAACAAATATACATACATCTATAAAAATAACAGAAATACCCAGAAGATTTTCAAGTTTCCAAGTCTGACAATACCAAAAGTGGAACCTTCTAACAATGCTGGGGAAAGCAATAATTGATACAATTGCTTTAAGAAAGGTAGACATTACCCAGTAAAAATGAAGATACACACATTCTATAAGCAAATAATTCCACTCCTAGATGTATTCTCAATAGTTCATACACATGTACAATATGACACATGTACAAAAATGTTCATAGTGGATTTGTTCATAACAGCAAAGAAACCCGAAACAATCCGAACGCTGTTAAGTAGAAAGCACGTAACTGTATAGTACACTCATGTAATGGACAGTGACGAAACAATCCACAGCCATATGCAACAACATGGGTGACTTGGCAAAACAAAGTCACAGTATGATACACTAATACTCTCTTTATTAAGCAGAATTTTTTACTCATTAAATTTTACTTATTAAAGTTTACTTTTTACCTGGTTAAAAAAATATTTTTCAGGAATGTAGCTATCGGTGCTGTTCAAAGTGTGGTCTACAGATGGCACTGAACTGTTGTTACAGGCTGATTCAGAGATAAGCACAAGTGAGAGTTTGATGTTGCCAAAATCTTTGAGCATGAGATTTTGCATTTCTAAAAGTATCTGTGATCTTTGAAAGTTATTTTAAAAAGCAGTTTGAGAAGATTTATTATACATAACTGGTAAAAATTTTTTTAAATATGAAAATTATTTTCATTACAAGCAGAACATTGGTATCTCTGTGGAGTTCAGGTATGTGATCAGGGAAAGATACATAGGAACATTTTGCTGCGGTGCTAGCAGTGTTCAATTTCCTAAACTGAGCATTGGTTATATCAGCATGTGCTTTGTAATTTTACTTCTCTTTAATCTGTACGCATTTAATACCCTCTTCTGTATTATGGCAGATTTCACAATTTTCAAGTTTGGAAATTTGTTATAAATAATACCAATTTTTTAAAAACATGTACATATATCTATAAAAATAACTGAAAAACATCAAAGTGGATGGTGGGATGATGGATGGATTTACTCTTAGAACCATTATTTCTCAAATTCTTTTTAAGGTAGGAGTAATCACTAGCAAATACCAACACTAAAAACAGATTATGCCAGATCAGTGTCACTTCTCAATCTCAAGAAGGAATGTGGTCATTTCTAACGACATCTTACATATAAAGTGGAAAAAAAACAGTAAAAAATAGAACATTTGATAGTTTAGTGATAACATTCTGTATTTTCCTCCAGATTTTGGAAACAACTGAGATGGACAAGAGATCATCACCTTTATTAGCAAAGTTAAAGAACATATTTTTCCAACCTGTAGCAATGAGTACTGGCTAATCTGTAAATTAGAGTTTACTTCACTCAGTTGTTGGCCTGGCTAGACAACCATGGACCTCCCCTGTGGGTAGACAGAGTTAAACTTTTTGGGATGAGTCTTCCAACCTATATACAGGGTCCAGCAGAAATAATGCCCCTTTTTTATTACAAATTTTTTTACTATAAAATCATAAGGATGTAATTGTATAACATATCACACCCAAGCACAGTATCACAACCAAGCACAGCATGACACTTTAGGTGAAATGTTCATATTGCTGTTCATCTCATGCAAGACATTCATATACCCTACCAACCTCACTTAAGCAAACCTTACTTCTGCTGGACCCTGTGATTTCTTCCTCTGATAGCATCCTATAAATGCCTTAGTGGCCAAGGTGGCCCCTGAATGGCTCCTTCATGACTTAATATAACATTACTTGCTCATATAATTATCCAGCTTTCCTAAACTAAGTTATGTTTCTGGAAGTCAGACTATCTTGTTCATTTTTGAAACTTCTAGCAGACTATCACAAAACCATGATTTGAATTTGACAGTAAAGCTCTGAACTAATATTGAGCTACACTGAAATCAAGACAGTTAAAACCTTCAGAGATCTATCCTTTAACTGGTGTTTGTAAGGCAACACCGCCTGGTGGTTGAGAAAGCTCTGGAGCCAGTTGCAATAGTTTGTATTCAGATTCTGCCAACTACTGTGCTGTGGGCAGCTTTCCTAACCTCTTCATGTTTTTGTGTTTTCTCGCCTACACAATGGGAATTCCTTAGTTCACAGGATTATTGCAAAGATGGCATGTATCCATACAAGTAAAATATTTAGCACCTGGCACAGGGTAAGCATTCAATAAATGTTAACCTAAAATAACTGTTATTTTATTTTTGTAGAATTGTGCCCAGAAACTAGGATGTCTCCTACAACTACATTAATACAGGCAAAGAAAAAAACTGAGGCACCTTGGAATTATACAACCTAAGGTTAATTTACTTAAAAACTAAGAGCCTCTCAGAGAACTGAAGGCTTAACTGCTTTCACCCAAACTTTCAGTAAAAAGGCAAAACATGTTAAAAATGTTAAACTGAGGCAGTTTAGAGGTGGTACAAATTTCCCCTGCTATCTGAAAAAGTAATGTTCCTATGAAAACTTTCCTTAAGCAGAAATGAGGGAAAGCAAAGAAGAAATTACCACTTATATGGAAAAAACTTTAAGTGTTCCCAGACCCACAAGATAACCTACCAAATAACACATAAAACCTAAAGAACACTAACACAGAACAGAAGCAGAGACCCTCACGCTGCTCAGGGTGTGTGCTACCTCTACAATGGCTCCCTGAAAGACAAATGCTGAATGATGTTCACTCTTCACCGTTTCTTGTAAAAGGAAAATCCTCTGGATTTCTTCCAGTTATGAAAACAGGTACATGCAGTACAGATCTTTTGTAAAGCGAAGCAGCATACATGAACTTTTGAAAAGTGGGGGATAACTGTATTTCTCTTCTTTAATTTTCTTGCCCAGTCCCTAAGATGTTTTGATGAAAAACCAAGTAAATAATCACTCTCTTGCTGCAAAAATATACTCCAAGCTCCAAGTTCATCCAAGGAACTTTAAAAAAATTTATATCCTGACAAAAACAAATCATGTGGAAAGATTTTTTTTTATTCTCCAGAATTGACTGAGGCAATCCTACAGAACTGTGATCTGTCTAGAGAAATCTGTTTTTTCCAAAAATAAATGAAAAACCCCTCTGATTTATTTATATATTAATTTAATTTTTGAAAACAGTCATAGGATCTGCTTTATTCTATTTAACTATCAATGTTACACACTTATAAACTGAAGCAAATATGGATAGTACAGATTTAAATAAAATCTTTCAAAGAATAAAATTGCTTTTCAGTCCATTGTATTTTCAAAGTTGATTAGCATCAAGCCAGAGTGAAAGTTACGAACAACACACCATTTGTCTTTTTAGAAAAAAGGTTTTGATTATTAGCAAAGTAATCATATCTTCACAGCTGAAATTTTAGTATAAACTTGCATATCAAGTCCCTTTCCATTATTTACTTAAAAAATATATACAGCTAATGATGTTTAAATATATATTCTGAGCCATATGTCCAAATATAAATATTTGGGAAATTCAAACTGTCACATCAAGTTACAAAAGAATTAAAGAAAAAAGATGAGCTACAACTTATATATTAGGAGGAAGAAAAAAGTTTACTTAACATTTATGCCTGTATAGATATGTATTCTTTCATTTATATATATACATACCCAGTTGAGTATAGACAGCCATCAAATGTTAACCAGTTAATACAGACTAGACTAAGCCTGTACTATTTTGTACAGGTAACAGTGGTGATTTCAAACATTTTAATATATTTCAAGAGTTTCATCAAAAGTTATTTGTAGAAATAGTCTAATATTAAGAAGTGTTGACAGGCGCAGATGAAATAACTGCATTATCTATGCCAAACTCGGCACACTAATAGTACCTGACTCTGCTAAATTATGGTCTAAGTATCTGAACATAACAGAGCAGACAGGTAGCCAGAAAGGATATTTCACATACATCCGTGCTATGAACCACATTAACATTAGTGCTGAAAACGTTCAAACCTAAATACAGAGGGACATACAAAGCTGCAGGGCAACTCCAATATAAGAATCCAAATAGATAAAGCTGCAAAATTTTAAACTTCAGTTCTTAATCTGTTATTAAGAATTAACCATTTGGTCTTCAAATATTTTAGAATTAAAGAGCTGAAGTTGAAAATACGTTTATCCTTTGCTACACCACAGCATTTGAAATTAGCCAGCATGACAACTTTAATTCCTTTTGCTCTTACATGCAGTAGTGTATATATGCATTTTAAGACAGCTTAAAATTGCGTTAACTTTTAGTCAGTAGTGGTGACTAGAACTGCTACCTAATCAGTAATCAGTATTCTATAGTACCACATATTGAAGTCTCTACAATATAAGTCTTGTTCGCACTTAATCAACTTTGGGTGAGGGAGGGAGGCATGACAGAAAGCAGTTGCATTTTTTTTAAGAGCAGAAAAGCTTTAAACACCTATACAATTTTGTACTATCTTGGGTTATATCTTAGAATACTTAAAACAAAATTGTATTTCAGTCAGCTCAATCTATACAAGTTATAAAATACAAAGACATTCTAAATCATATAGTGTACAGAGTATGAGCTATTTAATATTCATTAAATGCAGTACAATCAATGAAGATTATAAAATAAAAAACACACACAGTGTTCTAAATTTTTAAGTCATATTAGGGATTCTAACCAGAGATTATACAAATTACATGTGCAACACAAAAGAGAAAGAAAAGAAAAAAATCCAAAAAAACTAACTTCTCAGTGCATCACACCTATTGGGATTAAATGTATGGCACTTTTAAGATACTAATATTATAACTGTCAATTTAAACTGGGAATGACTAAAAAACATTGAAGCCACATAAGGGCAAGAACCAGCCAATTTAATGTTTAAATGAAACAGATCACCTTTTTTCTTTGTAAAAGCACTGAAAATGTAATGTGTGTAGGTAACTCACTAAACTTTTTCTTAATCTCATTTGCTCCTACACTATAAGACACTGAAGTATCTGAAATTATGCTGTATTTATTCTATCTGGTATGACAGTCTGATTTTTAAGGCCTGTTTAAATTCCATGATGTTACTGAAACACACTATTTTCTGTGTGGTAAGAATGTATTTATGAAAAAAATAACATCTGGTTATAAATCAAAACCCCCTGAAACAAAAACCTGACATTTTCCAAGCTAGTGAAAAATAAGTTATACCATGATGTATCAATTTAAAATTATATCAATATTAACATTTCTATGGTAGACTTTTCCTCCCATAAAAATTAAACAGTGCAGAATAGGGCTTGGGCTACAGCTAATCACATTTGGTTTTCTGAAAATCAAAACCTTATTTACTATAAACAATTAAAAGGCAATTTTCTTCCTCCACAACATATGTAGATATTAAATTGAAGGTTTAAAAAATATCCACTACCTATAAGAAAAGTATTTTTAAATGGCAAAAAGGAATCAAATACCAAAGTTTAGTGTGCGAAGAGTAGATATAAACAACCAAGAAAAGTATAGATCGTTGGTGTTGAATATTTAACATGAATAGCCCAAAGTAAGTTCCAAAGTTTTTATACCTTTACAAATAAAAAAAGGTGTCCTTTCCACAGTTTGGGGATATTCATCACACATCCCCCCAAATAAGTATACGAGTAAGGTTTTTAAAATGTTGCCAATATTAAGTTCTTCAGTATCTAAAATTAATTAGAGGACAGCAATATTACAGTGGCAATGGTGCATCAATTCTCAAAACGTAGTTATGATCCAACACGAGTTGTGGTGGTTCTTTTATCTGAGAAAAAGCTTTTTAGAAGAAAAACCTGCCCTATGCTAACCACCAGAAGAATGAGGGCTTCTCCTATTGACCAGTAGGCCACTCTTGTATTCAGATCTTCTGCTCGGCTTCGGCCTTGAGCTTCTCTCAAACGGAAGTGAGTCTGATAGTCAATGACAGACTTCAGAGCTTCATGGATCGAAACACAGGCAGATTCCATCTAAAGAGAAATATTTCCAGTTATATGTTTAATACTTTCTGTTCAATTCATGTAGCATAGTCATCTTTTCATTTGATCTTAATTCTTTATTTCATTAATTTCCTACTAAATTGGAATTTATTCATTCACGCATTTATGCCACTGGTCCTGGCAATGCAACCCTTACTCCCTTTGCTCATTCCCACTAGTACAACTGGTAGGTCAGATCCCATAAGCAGCCGATTGCTGCAGACTAAATGGCAGAGCTGTGGCATCTGTAAGATGGAACACCAAGCTCAAGGTAGCAGAAATACTTCTCAGGTAAGATTTGGGGCTATAAAATCACAAACCCAGATTCCCCAAACAGGAAGGATTAGGAGGAAGAGATTGGGCAGAACAGATTATAAAATTCCAAGTATGGCATAAAAATAGTTGAATCTGAAAATAACATGCCAGAGTTGAAATATCCTTTTTCTTTTTTTACATTTACCAATTTGCTAACTAAATCTTTTCCCTCAAGTCAGTGAGCTAAACCAATATATATGTTCTCAATGGGATACAAGTTTCAGTTTCACTGTGTAATCAGTCTAGGAGCCTTCATCTGAAGACACCTTACTGTTAATACATTAATTATACCATCTGACTTGAGAAGGGTTAAATGTCTAATTTTTTTAAGTAAACCAGAGCTTAATATTTCTCTGTTGCTCAAAACTTAATCCTGGTGATGAAATACATGGTTTATTATATAGTTATTTTATTTCACAAACCAAAAAACAATGTCTTAATTTTAATTAAGGAAAGTAAACATTAGAAAATAATTCAAATAGTCAATAAAGTTCTACCAAATTATGCATAAAAGAAATAATTATAAAAATATTCCATTAAAGGTGCATTTAAAAAAGTATAAGATGGAATTTACCTATTAGAATACTCAAACATTTTTGCTGTTCTGTTTTTCAGTCAGGCCCTTAGGAATGAAAGATTAGCAAAACTAATCTTTCTAAATGACTGCTAAAATGAGTAATTTCTAATTTGTGGTAAGAGGCTAGAGAGCTGCTTGCAGCATTTCTTTGCTTTCTATAGATTCTCAAAATATGTGGCCTAAGGATTCTTCCCCTGGAAAATATGCATGAAAACAAGGATTTGACACAAATTCAGACTGTTTAAAGATTCCTTGAAGCCTGACCATGGGTTATGGATTAAGAACATCTGGATTGGAGAAAATACAGAAATCAAAGGACTAACTGCATAGATTCGATATAATTTTTCAGATGGTTTCATTTCCCTTTTCTTCTTTGTACTTTTAGAATGGAAATGTTCATACATATTCAAAAGTATAGAGAACAGAACAAAGAACTTCCGTAATTATTAACACATGGCTAATCTTGTTCCATTTATATTCCCCAACAATTCTCCTCACCACTCCAATTATTTTAGAGCAAATTCCATATATTTTATCATTTCAGCTATATTTTTACTTTATTTTTATTTTTGAAAGATAATAGTTTAAAAAAATGGAACCCCAACAGCATTATAACATATAAAGTAAAAATAATTCCTTTAATTTATATTGAATATAAAGTTGCCATTCAAATTTCCCAAATGCCTCAAAAGTTGTTCACAAATCTGAATCCAAACAAGATCAACACAATGATTTGGCTGATACGTCTTTTGGGTCTTCTTTAATCTTTAGGTTCTCTTCCTTCGTTTTTCCCTTCCTATATCTCTATTTATTGAAGAAACTGAGGCATCAATCTTGCCTCAGTTCGGGAAGATTCGGGAAGCATCTTCCACTTCCTGAATTTTGCTAATTGTATTTCCATGGTGTTCCTCTATCTTCCATGTTTCTTATAAACATAGTTGGAGCTATATAGCCTTGATGAGATTCAGGTGTAATGTTCTTAGTGGGAACACCTCATAGGCAATTGCCTATTATCAGAACACATGTAACGTCTAGTTATCTCTTCACTTGTGAAATATTATTAGATTTAGGTGATAATCACTCTTATCTACCTGTTATAAGGTTTCCCATCTGCCTGTCACCTAATGGTTTTAGCAGTGACTGGTGATTAGTGCCTACTCTAGATTCATCATTTTATTAATAGTTAAGAAATGGTGATTTAATAAAACTCTATTATTTATTCTACACTTATTAGCTGATAATATTTTTCAATTTCAAAGTATCAACAGCTGCTTTATAGTATCCCTATTGTAGAAGAGACTTACTAGCTTTTTGAAAGTAGAAAAATAAAACTAAGAAAAGATTTATAAAAATGCAATATAAATAAAGGAGATTAAGTGATACTAATTGTTTTATGACCAGTCATTTTGCATATTTATCTACTTAGGGTTTTGAGAGCAAACTTTCTTATACAAATTAAAATTCATGAGGACTAAGTTATAAACCATGACTTGAAAGAAAAATCATTTTATAAAGCAAAGTGCTACTCACACAGGATGCTAAAATAAAAAGAACATTTCTAAAAATAACAACACGTGAATACACCTTATTAAAGCCTACAATAAGTTTATGAATTAGTGCTCTTATACATTCTTAAAAACTGACTCTATCATCCCATGACTTTGGCCAAAGGACTTGCTGGAACCTGGGAACAATGAAATACTGTATCAGTTTAAGGTTTTAACAAGCAGTTGTTAAATAATTCCTTTGAATACCTAACTGATTATCTTTTAGATCTGATCTAAGCTCATAATGTCTCTGAACGAGAACTAAAATAGCCCTTTCATCACCAGAGCAATATCTGTTCACTGACTTTAAATCTCCTTTACTATCTTTCTCTCACTAAACTATGCTTCAAAATAAAACTCAATTTTGCTTCCTTAACTATTTTTGTTACATGACTTAATAATCTTTTAGTATTTTACCTTAATTTACAGCAAAAGTTATTTTAACAGCAGCTTGAATAACATAAATGTTTGTATAAAACCATCTGTGTAATCTTTATATATATTTAAGGCATCATTTTGCTTCTAGTTATACCAATCTGTGAAGTTACACTAGCAACATTCCTCCCTTAATTACAGAAAATACTTCAGAATGCTGGAACACTGTTTGGACATCCTAAACTTCCTTTGCCATTGATGATTCTACTTAAGTGATAAACTTTTAAAGCTTTTTTAAAAATTCCTATTTTAAAGCTTTTAAAAAAATTCATCCAATCTTTTACCATAGATCTTCACTGAAAGCCTGAATTTCTCTGTGAAATGCCCAACCTAGTGTAAGAATTAAGATAAGCCTTAATGATAAAGACTCATGATAAAGAATTAAGTCTTAATAATAAAGTGGTAAAGTCGAAATTCTGTGCTTATCAACAGGTTAATGCATATAAGCTATGCATTTTCTCCCTTTACGCATACCAACATTACACTACTGACTTTTATTTACCTGGGTAAGGGCGCTGACTCGGTTCTCACTAGGAAACAAAGGTGGGTCTTCTCCAACTTGAAAATCAAAATACACGGTTTTATGTGTGAAAGTAGAAAATTCATTGCTGAAGCAAAATTTGTACGTCCCATTTCTGGAGGCTGTGAAGGTAAAACTGTCATACTGTTTCTTCATCTCCTTGTATAACACATTACCATCAGGATCTTCTAATCGACAATCTACATCATAGTGACCACCAGTAATCACCTACAAAAAGACAAGAGAAAAAAGAAGAAATGAGTGCAATCAACAAGTTTTAGAAATACCCAGATTTCTTGTTAAAATGGCAGTAAGGTTATAGGCTAAGGACCTTTATCGTCACAGATAATTTTACATTTTTTTTCATTTCTACCAGTGGATGGAACTCGGGAGGCAGATTTCAGTTCAACTAAAAGATTTATGAAAACCGAACATATTTCTATATAATAGGAGAGAGGGAACTCACTAGACAGACAACTATTCTAGTTAACGCAGATCTCTTATATCACTTAATTCTCCCAAATAATCCTACCAGAGGGGTTTTTCCCACCCCTCCATCTGACAAACTGAGAAACTGAGTTCAGATAAAACTTGAACTCCAAAATCATTTTAACCCTTAAGCTTAGTGCCATGTAATGTTTTCCTTTCCCAATTTTTTTTCACCTAGTTTCCCATGAGTATCTTCAAGGTACACACAGGGACAGTGAAGTAGTATAGTAGGCCAGTCTTTAGGGTAACACCCCACACATATGTCCATCATAGAACTCAAACTAATTTTACTGCCAAATCACAAATAGATTGTTTAAATTCTTTTATAGATCAATTATATAGAATTTGATACATATTCTATTTTATTTTATTATTATTATTTTTAAATATTTTATTTATTTATCTTTTAGAGGGGAAGGGAAGGAGAGAGGGAGAGAAACATCAATGTATGGTTGCCTTTCGTGCATCCCCTGCTGGGAACTGGCCTGCAGGGAACGGGTCTGCAACCCCAGTATGTGCACTGACTGGGAATCGAACTGCGATTGTCTGGTTCGCAGGACCATGCTCAAACCACTGAGCTACACCAGCTAGGGCTCCATATTCTATTTTAAACAACATTATAAATTGAATAGACTTCTGGGCTGTTCTAAGAGTATTATCATCATTGATAAACTTGTTTCCAAGAGAAACCTAAAGGAAACACAAAAAAATCTTTTACCTGGGAAAATTGTATTTAAGAGCAAGCACACTAGATGAAATATTTCTGAAGATGATGCTGGAGCTATTTTCAAAGACCTATGCTTAATCAGTTACAATCTGCAGAGCCTGGGTGGTCCACATGATGAGAGGAGGGGGAGACTTTTCCTGAAGTGTTGGGAACCACCCTGCCTGGTTTCAGAAGCTGTCATCCCCCCTCCCCCCCATGGCTAAGGCTGAGTGAGAGACCTTGACCATAAGCCACTAAGCAGACAAAGCTTATCTCTCTGGCAGGGGCACTGCCTCTGCCCCCTTTTACTTTACCCTGCTTAGCCTCAGGCGGATGACTGGTGGGCTGATGGCTGGTTAGCCAATGATGAGTAAGATTCCTCAAGGGAAGGACAATCTAAGACAGGCATGGTTATAAAGAGGCCCTCAGGGAAGGACGTGGGGGGGGTCTATGGAGAAAGGGGGTGATGGACCCTTACCCCTTGGCTTTGATGTAGCCTGAGTCCTCATTCTGTGTGCAAGAAGCCTCCTAATCTCTTGGCTGCCGTACTTCCCCTGCCTGATTTAAGCCTGAAACAATGCCATGCTGCCCTGGGCAGGAATGGGAGGTTCTCCAGGGCAATCAGGCCTAAGAAAGAATACATAAAATCCTGTGAAACTTGCTTTGTTTAGAATGTTATCAATTAAATAAGGGTCCAGGCAAGAAGTGAGTTGGTACCTCAAAGTTTTATAGCTCTTTAGCTATCTGACCCTGACTCAAAATAGGCCCTTGCAGTTCTTTGTTATCTTTATCTGATAATGCCTGATAATGATTAAAGAGCTTTACCTGTATTCCTGTGCAAAAGGAACCCAATAAAAGCCCACTGAGGAAAAGGCCCTTCTCCTTTGAGAGATCAGCCACCTTTCCTCCCCAAGCAGATCATGTCTTGGTAGACTTACTCTCATCTGTGGCAGCCAGGTGGGGCCCTGCAGGCAGAGAGCCCCCCCCCCCCCACTGATGTAATTGGATAATCATAATAACAGACAAAAAGGAGAAAGGATTAAAGAGAAGGAAGGCTTCCTTATAAGAGAAAGGACTGAGTGGGAAAAAAGAGGAGACGGGAGAAGAAGCACAGGGTAATGGGTACCCAACCAACATGAGACTAGATGGTACAAGTCTCTATTTTCAAGCCTGAACACTTTTGGTTAGCATAATATTGACATTGTAGATCTGTAGAACTCAAGAGATCAAACTTCAGACTTCAAAGAAAAATTGGTTACTTATGTAACCTTTCATCTCTTAAGATATGATGAATAAACTATGTTACAAGATCATTTTGATAGATAAAATTATGTATTTAGGAAACTGTAAAACTGTGTATAGTTAATATACAGATATAATGTTTCACATAAAAAGTGTCTTATCAACTGGGCATTTATTCCTCTCCCCAAAAGTCAACAACTTTTCTTCCAGGTGAAAATAATGACATCATTTTTATATACCAATTATTCATATTGACCATTGTACTTGGAATAGTCAGATACAGACATACAAAATAAACAGAACCAGAACTGATCATGTCACATTTCTTGCAACAAACTTAAAAAAAAAAAAACTAATCTCATTCTTCAGATAAAAGTATCTCTTGACAACCTGTCTGATCCATAAGATAGAAATATGGAATGATCCCAAATTAAGTGTCCCTACCTGTCCACTTAAATCACAGAAATCTCTTGATGTTATTGCCTCTCACAAATTCATCCCATCTTTTTCATTCCTAATCCACCATCCAGACAGGACTATTGCCACAACTTCTTAAATGTTCTTCCCACAACCCAATCTCTCATCCCTCTACTCAAGTGTTTCTCAACCTTGATTAAACTATTTCCAGCTGGGTCATTCTTTGTTCTAGACCCTAGAATAAAGGGCCTAGGGCACTGTGTTGCCCTGTGCATTATAGCATGTTTAGCAGCATCTCTGGTCTCTATCCACTATTTGCCAGTAGCACCCCCATCCCCACATGTCTCCTGGAGGTGAGGGCAACCGCCCTACCCTTCTCCATCCCCCATTTGCCTAAAACCTTTTGATTATCTCACTTCCTTTTGGAAACCCCCTTTTGATTTCCCCAACAGAAATATCCAATCCTGTTAACAATGGAATACCATTCCCTTGTACCTCCTCTAGGTAGCCTTAGCACATCTTTTATACCCTTTATCATTCTGTGTTCCAAAAATATCAGACTGCCAGAAGTTCTTTGAAGAAATCTTTGCTTTATACCTTTGCTAACAGTTAAACAGGATTTGTTTGCTGAAGAAGAATCACAGGATCCAAAATGACAATGCTTACAAATCCAGTTTATTATAGAAAACCAAAACCTCACAGCTAAAAGCTGTCTCACAGAAACAGGTCAGGAGAGGTTAGGTGTGGGATTCTTTGGCCTCCCTGTGTGAGAGGTTGACAAATCCTCCCTCCCTGATCAGGAACCACCAGGTGTACAAGGAACACCTTGGAACCAGTGAGCCCAAAAGAGTACTGGCTCAGTTTTTTTATATTTTGCTGGCCACACAGGTACCTTTCTGATAGGTAACCAGACTTAATACCAAGCCTTTGGGCAGGTCTCACAAAGACCAGGTGCAAATCATCAATCTCACTATTACTGATAAACAATGTCGACAAACTTGTTACAAACCACCCCTAAAGCCCTTAGATCAAAGCAACAATATTACCTAGTGTATTTCAGTGCCAGCTCAGGCTAATTCCAGGCCCACTGGAATTGTCTTATAAACATAACACATCTGCCTAGGATGTCCTTTTCCTCTCTGCAGACTTATAACTCCTATTTATCCCTCTAGACTCAGAACAAACACTAGCCCCTCAGCGAAACTTCCCAATGATCCTTCTTCCTTCAGTCAGAAATATAATGGGGGGCTGAAGGGAGGGAGCCAGGAGGGGGGCAAAGTTTTGCCACTCCCCTTTTGGAATATTGCTTTTAAGCTGGTTATTAAGAAACAAAAGACTAAAGACTTTGTTACCTCCCCTTTTCCCATCTAAAACGATTCAGATAACTAAAAACTGCTTCAGGAAGGGACCCTCTGAGCTCAAAGTGAGTCTTATTTATCTTTGGGAGGAATAATAAAGCAAAGAATTTAACCTGGAACCCTGATTGGTATGACTCACACAAAGCAAAAGGTTGTGGGTTCATCCCCAGTGGGGGCACCTATGAGAGGCAGTTGATCAATATTTTCTCACATCAGTATTTCTCTCCTTCTTTTTCTCCCTTCCTTCCTGTCTCTTAAAAATAAATAAATAAAATCTTAAAAAAAAAAAAGGAAAGAAACTAACCTAGAACTGCATACTGATTCTGCTACTTGCTGTTTTATGATCTTGTATTTTAAATTATGGAAGCTTCAGTTTCTTCATCAGTAAAAAAGGAATAAGAACTATACCTATTTCATATTGTGTTGTTCAGAGAATTAAGTAATACACCTGATACACTTGGCATACTGTCAGCCACATAACAGGCGTTGTTTTTAGCCCATAACAGTAGTAGTGGTAGTATTCCCAGCACCAAGAACAGTGTCTTACACATATAAGGATCCAGAATGTTTGTTAAATATAAACAAATAAGATTTTTGCTGACAACTTATATTACTATTCCTGCTATCTTCTTTTCCGTCCCTTGGTCCTACTCCAGGAAGTTAAACAAGCCTAAGGGTCATCCTTAGCCTTCTCTCCCTCCCTCACTGTAGTCAAATCATCACGTCCCACGGATTTTACCTGCTGAATTATCTCCAGTCCTTTCACTTTTCTCCTTCCCCATAGCTATCATCCTAGACCTAGTCTGAGCCTGAACCACTACAACAGCCTCCCTAAGCAGTCTGTGTACCCATTCTAAAATACCTTCTCTACCTGCACAATATCCATATAACCACCAAAAAATATTGGGTCATGTCACTGCACTCCTTACAACCTTGTGATAGCTTACCATACTCATAGGAAAAACTAAAATTCTTATCACAGCCAGCAAGGCACTAATGGTTTGGCACCCCTGACACCCCTTCCTCTCCTTTCTGGCTTATTCCCAAATATGTAGGACCTCTCTATGGTCTTCAAATTCTCAGTCCCCCTTACTACAGTATAGTATCACTGCAAAGCCCACTCCCTCTTTTCCCTTACCAAAGTATGTAGAACTTATTCTTTACAATTCATCTTTAAAATCACTTACTAAAGGAAGCCCTCACAGATCCCAAAGACCAGATAGTATATCCCCTATTATCTGCTCTTAAAGCAGTTTTGATGAATGAGCAGGTACTAATTAAGAAAAGCAGGGTAGGACAGGTGGGGAATCAAGAATGAATAGAACGCCCTCCAGTGTTCTTTCTGATCACTTCTGTATCACCAGCACCCACCACTGAACAGTTGCTCAAATATGAGAATCAAGTCTACTAAAAATAATAGAAAGAGTGAAGACTGTTCTAACCAACTTAAACTACATTCTGCCAAATAAAGTTTTTTAAAAAATATATTCCCAAAGATGACAAGAGGCCTCTCATTTATTGTAACAACTCTTTCTGCAACACCTTTGGCAGATGGTTATCTGGCCTTGAATGATGCTCTTCCAGTAACAGGATCACCACATTAACTAATAGTTCTAATAACAATGAAAAAACTGAAAAGCAGTGGAGTTCGATGTCGGCAACACTTCAAATTTACTTGAAGTACAGGTGTGGATTAGAGTTCAATGGCCCTCAAATGAAGGGCACTCGAGAATGTAAAAAGTCACAGCTACGGAAAGCATTTCTGGGATTCATGTATCTTAATATCTGGTCTTAAATGTCTCTAGCCCAAGGTTTAGAAAAGAAAAGCCAAATGCCCTGAATCAGATACCTAGAGCTGATTCTTGAATCACCCAAAGAATTAACAAACAAGATCAGGAGGAGGGCACCTGCCGATTACTCCCGGACCCTGGAACTGAGAGTTGGGGCCGCGGAACCAACCGCTAAAGCCTGGTGTACCTGGAACTCGAGGGTGCACTTGGTGCCTTGAGTGATGTCCTCGTAGAAACACTGCTTGGCGTTGTCAGGCAGCTCGAAGGTGATCTCAGAGGCGCCGCCCGGTTCCGGCACCAACAGCAGTAGCAGCAGCGCGAGCAGCCTGCAACCCCAACAGACCGCGGCGGACCCCAGCCGCGGCATCCCGAGGCAGTGGCGGCGGCCCCAACGGAGTTGCAGAGACACAAGGGGTCAGGTCTGCGCGCACTTGCCGCGCCCGCCGCAGGCCTCAGACCGACTGGCTCCGAGCCTTAAAGAGCTCGTGGATGAGAAACGAGCCGCTGGGGGCGAGTGAGGGGTGCTCTAGGAGCCACGACGACCTGGGGAGCAGACAGCAAAACCTACACAAAAAAACAGGGAAGGCCTGAGGTGGCCGGAAGTGTCGGTTCAGAGCCGGGGGAAGGGGCGGGGCCTGAGGCACCTGTTTCAGCGACCCGGAAGTACTCTCTACTGAGCCGGACAGCGGAATGTCTACGTGGAAGCTCCAGGGGGGGTGGGGTCGGCCCCCGCAACAGTTTGGGGCGAGGGGCGGGGCTAATGTAGGGAGGGCGTGAGGTGGGGCCTGAAGAAGGGGTGTGGCTGGCGGGTGCTTAGCTGGTGTAAGCGGTGCAGGCTTGTATCCCTGTGAGAGCAGATTGCTGGGAGATCTCCGAGGAAGTGAAAAACTCATTTTGCCCTAGGAAGCTAACCACGGTTGTTGAGTGCTTAGCTGTTTGCAGGGTTTTCTCAGAAATAATAACAAATTTGAGGGGAAGTAGTTTAGAAAGGAGCATGAATTCTGGGACCACCTATTGAGTATTCATTATCATCAGGCACTGTGCTAAGCACACCACATTGTGTTTTTGGATCCTACAAACAACACTGAAAGGTAGGTATTATGCCTGTTTTACTGAGGAGAACCTTTGTGTTAAAATAACGGTGGGCAATATTAATAGAAGCTAACAGGTATTGACTTAGGTATTATATCTTTTGTTATATAAATGACCAGGAGGAGACTCATGCACTTTAACATTATCAGCAGAGGGGGTCAGTAGAGTTTTATGAGAAGGAAATAGTCAACAGCCATACCGCCCCAAACACACCCGATCTCATCTGAGAAGGAAATAGAGGCAGGTGGGTAGAAGCCAGGCCTGGAAATGAGAGGGGCAGTGAAGAGGAGGTAGGATAGAGAGATGGAATGGAGGGGGTGTTCTTGAGCAGCTAGATGCAGAACTTCTGTCCACCTGGGGTGTCCAAGGCCTCCACAGGGGGAAGGAAGTCCAAGGAGGTGAAATTTGGAGGAGATTGCACCGTCATAAGAGCTGGACTAAAAAAGAGGTGTTATCTCTTCTATGAGGCAAAAGATGACACTTCTAGTGTGAAAGTGAATTTCACAGTAGAAAAGGTGGGTTCTGCTTTCTAACTCTTTGGGAAGGTAACATTGCTCTTCTAAACCTGTTTCTTCATACATAAAATGGCAATACAAAGAATGAATGAATGAATGAATGAACGAATTAGATTAAAACCACAATGTTCCCTGGTTGGGTGAGTCAGTTGGTTTCGCATCCTTCTGTGCACCAAAGGTTGCGGGTTCCATTCTGATCAGGGCACATAACAAGTTTTCTGGTTCCTTCCCTGGTCTGGGCACCTACAGAGGGCAACCAATGTTTTTCTCCCACATTGATGTTTCTCTAATGTCAATAAACATATCCTCAGATGAGGATTTTAAAAACTAAAAAAATCAAAGCACAGTGCAATACATTACACACCTGAAATAAAGGGGGTGGGCGCCAGAAATGTCAACATCATTAAAGTTTTACCTACAGCCTGCATTCCTCATCTGTATCTGAGATATTCCCAAACAATGTTGGATAGCAATGTAGGCACTAGAATTTGCTTTTTTGTAGTATTTTTAGAGATGATCTAATATCCTAGTATTTTAAATGGGAAAAATAATTATGCATTCCATATCCATATTTAAAAAACCCAGCCATTTTTGAAATATCATTAACAATAAACTTCTGTAACAATCCTTAAGTGTGTCTTCATGATATAAGCATTTAAAATACTAATCATCCAGTTATTTAATGGATTTAATTATTTAACACTTAATGGGCTCATCAATGGTATGTTTGCATACAGTTCTCAAGGATACTGTATAATATCAATAGTACTTTTCAATTGCTCAAGTAAGGTTTGGTGATGGGAGGGAAAAGGGACTGTGGTCTTGGGTGAGGTTCAGTGATGGGTAAAATTTGAGAGAGTATGAGCTAGTGAAAGAGTTAAGTGACTCAGTACATGACAGAAGCATGTCCAAGTCTAAATTCAAGGAGTAGGTAGGACAGTCTTCTCAACTTGGCAATTAAGACACAATCAATAACTAAGAAGCCTCACCAGAAACCTGAGGACAAAAACCAAAACAGTCAATAAAACAGCTCCTCAAAATGGATAGCATTCCCTTATCATGCACTTATATGGTTCCCAATAATAAGATTGTATATGGAAATGCCTTTTTGATTTTAGTGTTATACTTCTGCTCAGGTCATAATCACAATCATTTACAACACCAATAATTTCCCATGAATGATCTAAAATATCTTTGAAACATTTGACACTGAGTATTCAGAATTGTTCTTTCTTTTTCTCTTCTTCTGATCAACAATGAGCATTTTCTCATTGAACAAGTTTCTCTTTGTTTTTCAATGTTTTCCCTGTGTAACTATAGCCATATGTATATATAACTCTGACCATAGCAACATCTGTAATTGTTTGCTTTGAGATGATCTCTTCCCCAAAACATGGGTTATCGAAAAGTAATGGGCAGGATTCATTCTTTAGAAGATATTTTTAATGTCGTATTCTGTTTGGGCTGCTATAACAAAATACCACAGACTGGGTAGCTTATAAACAACAGAAATTTATTTATCACAGCTTTAGGGGCTGGGAAGTCCAAGATCAAGGCACCAGCATTGTTGCCTTCTGGTGAAGAACATTTTTCCAGTTCACAGCCAGTCTCTTCTTGCTGTGTCTATGTGGTGGGAGGGGTTAGGGAGCTCTGTGAGTTCTCTTTCATAAGAGCATTAATCCCATTCATGAGGGCTCTACCCTCACGACCTAATCACGTCCTATTAGTCCCATTCACCAATACAGTCAACTTTGGAGGTTAGGATTTGGATGGGGGGGATGATACAAACATATCATAGCACATAATAATGTGAAGATGATATTTATAATGTACAACCCATTTAAAGGACAGCAAAGACCCATCTTACTTGGGAAAATGAGCTAAGTTTGCAATCCACTCTGCATCCTCTTCTCCAGATGTGTAAGCTAATCTACATATCATAGCTAGCATATACACACAGACTTATTATAGTAGGTTTTAATTTAGAATGAATTTGGAGTAAAATTGTTTGCAGTCTTTAGATGGTAAGAAATCAGAAAATGAGGGATATCTGTATTTTTGCCCAGCTCCCACAACTGCTCCCTAGTAAAGACTTGTCATCTCTCATATTTCAGAGAAAGTCAAATGGGCATATTCATTATTCTTCACAGTTGCTCAATCTATCTATAGACACAGATATATGCACAAAGGGTATACATCAGAGTCTTATGGATATCCAAATCTGTTAGTACTGCTACAGCATGTAATATTTCCACTGTAGGCAATACATTTTAAATTTAAAAATTGACGGGACCTCTCAGAATCTTGCTTAGAGTGACTACCTGATAGTGAATAAAAAATAAAAACCAAAAAGAAACCCTGATGTTGGCCAATGATGAAAACTATGTTTGTGTCTCAAGGAAAGAACAAATTTTCAGAGGTCACTAGTCTTCAGAAGTCTCTTCACTGATGGCTGAAATGGAAAACAAAATCTACAGGAGCCAGAAATCCACTCCACTGTATTGTCAGCTGATGGTCTGTAGTCAGACCATGTTGTTCCCCTCTCCAAAGAGAATTTTCATCATTGTAGAGTTAAGATGTCAGGTTATGAATATAACATTGAGGGGGAATATTTTAAACCCTCCTTTGAAAAATGTTTTTGTGTTTTACAAAAGTGAAATTGTAGACAATAACAAAAACACCACCTTCCTTTAGAACACCAGTTAGTGTTCTCCAAAATGTAGGAAGCAATGGATGAAGAAGCTTGGCTTGTAAATGGTCAAGTGGATCTGTAAAGACTTTTAGAGACTTCTAGTAAGATGGTGGATTAGGTAAACAAGGTTCACTTCATTGCACAACCACGTCAAAATTACAACTAAAATATAGAACAACCGTCATCTCGCAGAACTGTTAGTCTCGCAGAACTGTTAGAAATCAAATTGAATGGAAGCCTGACAAATATGGAATTAAAGAAACCACATCTATTCAGACTGATGGGAGGGGTGGAGACGTAGAATGGTCCTACATCCATGTGTGGTGGGTAAAAATTTGGGTAAAAAATTGTGAGAGTGAGGAATCCCAGCTCCAGCCCAGGGTTCCAGTGCCAGGAAGATAAGTCCCCATAACTTCTGGTGGCAAAACCCAGTGGGGATTGAGTCAGTGGAAGAAACTTCTGGAGTTCCAAGCAGTTACCCTTAAAGAACTCACACACAAACTTACTCAAACTCCCTCCCTCTGAGCTCCAGCAGCAGAGTAGCAGCTTGAAAGGCACCAGTGGCATACAGGGGGGAAATGAGGCATCTGTCAAAGTGGGAGCTGGGGGACAGCAACCCCCAGAGAGAAAGGGGGGCAGAGGCAATTGTCCCCTTTCTGAACCCTCTCACCACAGAGACACAGAGCCAACAGGTAGGTATGATATCTGAGACTCCTGGCTAAGACTTTGCCTTGCCTTGGAGGTCTCCTGAAACTCTGTCCCACCCAACATACAGGCCCACCCAAGATATGAATGGCTAGTCTTGGCTTATGATCTGCAACTTTCTAAATCATAGCAAACAATAGATGGCCTCAGTAAGTTGCCAGGCCCCAGCCCCTCTATCTCTTGTTAAGTGGCTCTGGGCTCAGCATTAACAATAGACAGCCTAGATTCATAACTTGGCTTTGCTTGGGAACTCCAAGCCCAGCAGTAATAGCAGCCATCTCAGATTGCTTTATACCTCAGACAGGGTGGCCCTGGGCAGAGCACAGATGGAGGCTGACCTTGGCCTGCACCACCCAGGAAACTCCAGAGCCTACACACGCAGTGGACAGCTACATGCCACATTGGAGCACCACCACCCCACCCCTGCATGGCTGATCCACCATGGAAGGTAAAGGTTAGTGGTCAGTAGTCACAGCCAGTCCTTGCAGCTGACCGGCCTGGATAAATCCCTTCCATTGACCTGCCAACAGCAATCAAGGCTCAACTACAAGAGGAGGGTATACAAAAGGTGCAAGTACCCAGCTTAGGTAATAGGGAGACTGTACCACTGGACCCTGTAGGAC